TGGATGCTGGATTGTTAGTTGATGAACTGTTTAAATTCTGTATTATCAACTATATAGATTATGTGGATTTTATTTGATGAACTGCTCAAAGTGTTGCATCATTACGGATCATTTATATAGTATACACCGGTATGGGACGATGGGATACGGAGGAACGGATTAGATCAAAACACTAATCCCTACCCATTTATACATACGGAATGGATTAACTAAAACATTTAAATCTTACATGGTTTTATGTCCTGTCAACTAAAACAGTTGAACGACATACTGGATGGTTGTTTATATTACTGTACTAGGATGAATAAGGAATTAATTAAAACACTTAAACCCTAATTATATGTAGTGTCTGAACGACGAACAGTTAACCATTATAAACATTTTATTTGGATGGAACTTATATACATAATGATGTAGGTTAGTCAAAGAAGCTGAATGACTAACTGGACCACATGATATCTACGTTATGTTAAAGAAGCTGCACAAGCTGAATGACTAACTGGATTTCTTATGGATGGATAGGACAGGACTTTATATATATATTTATGGTACCGCGGTCTGAGCTTGAGTCTCATAGTCGACGGTTAGGGAGCGTATATGCAGTAGGATGCGTAGCTAGTTATGCTGATCATGGTATACCCTGTTAGGCTTAGGTAGTCATGCCCACTCAGTTGCGTTTTGCATGTTGCATTCTATTCAAGTTGAGACCCATATCATAGTCTAGTGAGAGTCCTGTAGTGTGGTTATATGTATATATCTATTTACGGACTATATAGATATGGTTGAGGCATCTAGGATGTATCTGCGTATCGGATTTCTGTTTGGATTGTAGTTAGGATAGAACTTGTTCGTGGGCCTGACCCACTATTATTTTTCAGGTAACGGACGGTTCCAGGTCTTAGATCTTGTTCATGCTGAGCAGAGATGGCTTCTCATTCTTGCGACGACATAGGAGTTTCTTCATGATTTAGCAGTGGAGTTCTTCAGTTGACGATTTCAGTGTTGGAGTTTTTAGGGGTCCACCAGATGGATTCCCAAGTTGTATTAGAAATGGAGAATTTGGATGTATCAGAATAATTCTTTATTAATTTAATTTTATTCTGAGGTTTCAGTATTTGGATTACCATTCTAGTTTATTTTCAGCAAATTTTTATTTATTCCTGTTTCCTTATTTGTATTATATGTTCGTTTATTGCTAATTGGTTTGATATCCTCGGGTAATCGGGCGTGGGCCTGGCCAACCCGCATCCGGAAATCTGGGGTATCACAGTTATGTTCTTCCTTCTATTTGGTAAATCGTCTGTTCTTCTTTCGGAATAGGTTTGATTTTGTTTATTTGAAGAGAGTACTTGTTAATAACAAAACATTACTTATGGAAGGCGTTCTGGATTTGCTTTACGTTTGATCTGGTTTTGCTTCTTTCTTTCTTAATTTTGAGAAGAGAGAGTTTTCATTTCATTTGGATGAAGAACTGACTTTTTGGGGCAGGTTTTTTTTTTTTTTTTACTCCTCTCTAGACCAATCCAGTGAGAGAGTATCCTGGGAGGGAGGCACTGGTAAGCTACCATATTCTCCCACTGGTGAGCTATCATGTTGGCCGGTTATAGGTACATTATCTCATATGTAAAAAAAGGAAAGTGTTATATATATATATATAGGATTGGTACACTTTCAAATGGTAGAAGCCTTTTAAGGTAAAACTCAATAACAAAATTGTGCAGGTTCGGACTGAAAGCGGATAATATTATACCTTATGGTGGAGTCGGTCCTTACAAAAGGCGTGACACCTTGGTGTCAGAGCCAGGGGTGGAGCCAGTGTATGCCCAGGGGGCACTTGCCCCTAGCCTGCCCTACCCACTATACATATGATAATTTTTTTTTTTTTTAATATTTTACAAGTATATATATATGTAATTTTTTTTTTTTTTTATATATATAATGCCCCCTAAAATTATTAATTTTTAAAATTATCTTTTAATTTTCTAATTTTTTCCTCATTTACTCTTCAAATTCCATAAAAAAGAAGACAAATTTTACTTGTTAAATTAAATTCTAATTTTTTTCCTTTTTTAAGTTGTCATTTTTTTTTTCTTCCCTATTCTCCTTTAAATACATTTTTTTCCCTTAACATTGCGCCCCCCTAAACTAAAATCCTCGCTTCGCTCTAGTCAGAGCCGAATCCAGCTAGAAGTATAGTCACTGTGGTGACAGTTATGTGTGTGGGTGGGTGAGACACAGACAGACTACGAGTGGATGATCTCACATTGCCTGCGTGTGAAAAGGAAAAAATATTGGCCTTAAAAGGACAATATTATACTATGTGGTGAAGTGAGTCGTTACACATTGTAGTAAGAACTAGGGGTAGAGGCCTAAGGGTGGCAAATTATGACACGACTCGCTAACATGACTTGAAAACGATATGAGTTAAATGGGTTTGGGTTGACCTTAAACGAGTTCAGGTTATAAACGGGTTAACACAATTAACCCGTTTACTTAATCATGTCGGGTTAGGGTTGAGGGTTTCAACCCCTGTAACCCGTTTATACATGTTTAACTCAGCATGTTATAATCGTGAATATGACCTATGTAATATATTACATGTTTAAACCCAATGACAATGGACAATTAAGTCATTTCAATATAAATATTGACTACGCCTTATAAATTTTCTTCTTATTTTAAAAATTTGGGTTAATTGTGCCATTTTTTCCCTAATATTTATTATTTAATTGAATATTAAATGTCTTATTTTGATAAATAAGTCATGTTAACCTGTTTAATAAACAGGTCGGGTTAGTGTTGAGGGTTTTTGATACGATTATTAAATGAGTCGGGTTTGAATTTATCTCTTTAGTATGATATCCTTACAAAAATACGATACGATTATGACCCACGAATTTTCACCCCTAGGTGGAGCCAATGCCAACGTAGGCCCAGGGGCACATGCCCTAGGTTCTGCCAACTATAATATTTTGAAATATTTACAGAGTAAGTGATACTCACACCGAAGACTCTAACCTATTTCTTTAGCCGAATCTACATGGATGCAATGTCATCAACATTTACGCTTATCTTTATTTATTTATTAAAATTTACACGTTGCTCGATAAATTAATTAAAACAAGTAGCGAAACACGTGAGTCGTCTCTCCCAAAATACGAACAACCACCAGTCATCTAAGCACGGCAACCACCACTGCTCATAACCCTGCAAATTTAACTTAAAAAATATCACAAATTAAACATCCTTTTCATTAGAAAAACCTTTTTTCCTTATTTTTCTTTCCTTTGGTTTTTTATTATTTTTTATTTTTATAGTTTGTACTTGTATTGTATGTAATTTTTTTAAAAAAATTAGGGTTTTGAAAATCCCGACGTCTTTTTGGAAATCAAAGGGAAATCCAGTGTCCCTGCAATTTTTCTTTAAAATTAAATTTTAAATAATTATCTTCATCAATCAAGAAAAATATAGTTTGCGATATGCAATTTTCTGTTATAACTTCATATACCATATATATGGATATTATATCTTTCATATAATGGATTAGATTGCCGTTAGTGGTCAGCGAGATGGTAAGGTCGGCGTTCATGGTTAAGATGCCGAGATTAATAGTGGTAAAGATGAGAAAGGAGAGAGAAAAACTGATTTACTGCTTTGCAGGAAGATAAGTAAAGAGAGAGAAAAATAAAAGAGAGAGAATTTAGAGTTATTATTTTGACTTGGAATATCCATCTAAGTAGACATATAAATTCAATGAGATAAATTGGTATATTACTTCGGTGTAAATATCATTTTCTATATTTATAACACACTCCTAAAATTTTTTATTTCTAAAATTATCTTTCTAACTTTTTTTTTTTTACTCATTAAATATCCTTAAAAAATGTGTCAAGTTTGCCTTTCCCATCGTATTCTAATTTGATTCGTTTCACGGTACTCTCATTTATTTATTTTTTCCTTTTTGCACGTTATGTCAATATTAGATGATTTTTTTTTTACATTGTCCCCCTAATTGAAAATCTGGCTTCGCTCATGATAAGATCAAACCATAAATACAGTTCAATAAATATCGAAACTTACCTTAATCAAATTGTAGTTGAGACCAAAGATTGAAAGGTTATGTTAAGTAAAATTATTTTGTTTCTTTTTACTAAACTATCCATTATAGTTATTTTCACATCAATGATGGAAAGAATAATACGTAGTAATTTCATAAAAAGGGTATGGTGGCAGGAGAGCAATAGAGCTGTCACAAAAGTGTTTAAATCACTTTTTATATTTATAGCGTTTTAAAACTTGATTGATAACAATAATGCTTAAATTATTTTTATTACTAATTTTACTTTCATTATTTTTTATAATGTTTATTAATAAACATGTGTATTATTCAAATATAAATAATCTAAACATATTTAATGAATATTAATTTCTATTTGATATAAGATTTTTTTTAATAATCAAATACGAATATTTAAACATATAATATTTAATAATAAAATTTAATGAAATAATGATATTTAATGGTTATACGCGTATATAGTAAACCAAAACAAGGCCCATATGATGCATCACTACTATTAATGGTGTTAGAATTACAGCTAAACATATTATTTATAATAAAAAAATTTATCAAATCTACCAGCAACGAATAATAAGAGGATGATGTATTACTCCAAATATGATTTCAAGATTAAGATCTATTATTAAAAACGAACATAGAAAAAAAATAGTGTGAAAAAATAAAATCTTATAATTATTTTATTGAATTCCACCAAATTGCAAAAATATTTCAAACGGTTTGGCTGCATTTTAACGTCAAGTTAAATAATAATAATAATAATAATAATAATAATTGTTTCTCTTTCTTTCAAATTCTAACATATTCTAAAATCACAATTCTAAACAACCGCCCAGTGGGGGCATAAATGTAATTCGATAATTAGAAGCGTAAAACTGATGCCAACAGTAGCGCCTCCTCAGTCACAAGCCGTTCAGAAAGTTTCCTACTGTGGAATACTGGTTACTCTCTTTCCTTCTTGGGTTTATTTCTAGGGTTTAATAGGCTAATCGCAGCTTTCAGAAACCCTAGAATCTGTTGATTAACAATGTCGGTCTACTTACCGAACGAACTGTTGACGGACATTCTGGCAAGACTACCGGTGAGAACTCTTCTGCAAATCAGGTGCGTCTGCAAATCTTGGCGTTCTCTCATTAGTAGTGATTATTTTGTAACCTTTTGCCTCAATCGATCAACTCATTTGAACAACATCAACCACACTCACCTCCTTCTCATTAGACACTGCACTGAACGTGAGATACGAGAACATTTTTATTCAGGGAAAAAAATAAAAAAACAAGAACACTTTTCCTTGTATCTCGATAACGAAGGACTCACGGAGTACCAATTGAACATCGAAAGGCGTCCAATCGCAGACATTGGTCCGTATTTCACCATTCTTGGCTCTTGCAATGGTTTGGTATGCCTTATTGATGATAGCTTTGCGTCCGATCTTTTATATTTGTTGAACCCCACTATTAGTAAATTTGTAGTACTTCCAGAACCTCGCGTTACCTCCCGTTCGCACGGCCATTATCATCGTGCTCTTGGATTCGGATTCGATTCCACAACTAATGATTATAAGGTGGTTAGAATTGTTTACCCCTATGGTAGCACTACTGAGATTGACATTTATTCTCTTAAGCAGGGATGTTGGAGAAACATTAGTGTTTCTGGTCCTATACCTTGTATCTGTGATTCATCTCATGTTTCTCTCAATGGGACTATCCATTGGGTTTCCGGAGGTGGTGATTTTCCCGGCCAATCCATTGTGACATTCAATTTGAGTACTGAGGTATTCTCTTGGATGGAGCTACCAAGAAGTCTACTTTATAAAGAGGCACAATGTAAGTTGTCTGTTGCAGTGTTTCAAGACTCGCTTTTTATGTTCGAGAATGATTATTCCATAGGCAAAGCGTCAATCTGGATGATGAAACAATACGGTGTTGTGGAGTCGTGGACCAATCTATTTAGTGTTGATTTTGCTAGAGGAGGTTCTGTGAAAGTTATTGGCTGGAAGAGGAATGGTGAAGTTCTTTTGACAAAAGACAAAGAGATGGTTTCAATTGACATTAAGACTCAAAAGCTCACGAATCTTGGGATGCACGGATATGACGAGGCATTTTGTGTCAAAACTTACACAGAGAGCTTGGTGTTAATCGACAAAGTAAATGGAGGCTCTCATATTTAGCTCTTATATACTATGTTTAATTTTGATACCTTTCTTTGAATTAGAAAATAAAATATTATTTTGACATAATGTTTGGCCTCATTCTAAAAGCAGCAATCAAGATCACAACAAAGTGTGATTTATAATATTTTCATATGGGGTATACAATAATTGATTTCTTTATCCAGTCGCTTGAGGAGATTGAAGAAATAGTAGGGTATGAAGGTCAGTCTATTAAACAACCGTGTGTGGAACCAGAAACTGTTGCTCATATGTTGGGACTTGTGAGCATTCAGAACTGCTCCTCGATCTGCCACTGGCACTACACCTTTCATGCTCAAATTTTGTTTCCCAAATCTTGGAACTAAGCTGCAGTTATGACATTTTTACCTTTCATGAATGGTAGCCCTAGACAAGACCTTTCTTTCAATTATTGCAGAAATGTAAAAACTCTTCCAATATAGAAACTTATGTTTGCCTTTCATATAGAAAATAAAAAACCTGAATGAAGTTATTCTTTTATTGCCATCACTTCTCTTAAATTGTTGCCACAAATATTTGCTGCATGTGGGGGTGGACTCTATCATCTCTGATATATAGCCCACAATAATTCTACAAATATTATATGGTACATAGTTATACATCAGAGCATCCTAAATTTGTTTTCTTTTTTTACTTCACCTTTTGTTTGTCTCGGCATTCCTTCTAACTATCTATAGAGAATGAAAAACTCAGTTGAAATTAGATCGAAAACTCATAACGATGAGCTCAATTTAGCAATTGGGCAAAAGATCCCAGTTGCTCAAACTTTGGGTCATAATATGGTATTTGGGTTCTTATTCATGGATAAATTCCAATTTTTAACTGGCTGTTTTATCTTGACTCTGTAAGGTTTTATGTTAATTTGTATGATTATGCATGCATTTTGTGTTATTAACAGGCAATATGGAAGGTTGATCTTGATGTGGACTTCTATTTTTTTCTTCTGACATTTATGGTTATATGCTCAGTAAGGTGGGGAAAAAATTATATTTATGTTCCCCACTGTTTTTTAGCCTATTAGTAGTTCTTGTATGACATGTATATGAATGCCAATACAAGCCTTTCATCAAAACACCTCTTTTAAATGCTACTTTAATGACACCTTTGAGTGGTCATGATCAATATAAATTTTGTGTCAGGTATCTCTACAAGTAAGGAATAGGTTTTAGTTGTCTTAATGGAGAATTAGCTACAGTTTCAATGTTGATCTTATTTGTTACCTCATTTTGTTTCACTACTTGGACAAGGATGCACTTAACACATTAGAGTGATGATATACTTGGATCCACTAGTTGTTAATATGAGACTTGACCTGAATTATATTCTCTTCTTAATGGGAATGATTTTATATGATAGAAGGGACTAGCTAGGAGAAAGACAGCCATTTTTTTTTTGTTCCATAGCTTCTACGTGCCATGTTGAAAATGTATTTTGCTCATAATCCCTTGATTTTCTTTTATTTTTTAATACCATTTTTTGGCATGATTTTTTTTGTTGCGCGTGCTAAATTACTGCTGATATCTTTACCTCTTATATACTTTGTGTGGACTTGCATTGCACTTTAACTTTCATGCTTTTCTTTGAATCAGAAAATAGAAGTATGTTTTAACATAATGTTTGGTTTTATTCTAAAAGCAATGAAGTGTGATTTATATTTTCATATGGGGTATACAATTATTGTTTTCTTTATCAAGTTGCAAATTTTGTTTCCCAAAATTTGGAACTAAGCTGCAGTTATGACCTTTGTACCTTTAGGAATGTTAGCCCTAGTTCCCTTTTTTTTTTTAATTATTTACAAAAATATAGAAACTCTTCCAATATAGAAACTTATGTTTGCCTTTTATACAGAAAATAAAAAAGCTGAAGGAAGTTGTTCCTTTTATTGCCATCATTAATCTTAAATTTTTGTCACAAATATTCGCTGACTCTATCATCTCAGATATCATCTTGTTAAGATGTGTTAAATAGTTATACATCATAGCAGCCTAAGTTTGTTATCTTTATTTATTTTACCTTTTGTTTGTCTAGCCATTCCTTCCATCTATCGACAGAGATTCAAATATTTGATTTTTCTGCCCGTTATTCAAACTCATTTGAAATTAAATAGTAAGCCCGAAACCTCAATTTTATCAATTGAGCAAAAGATCCCATTCTCTGAATTACTGCCAAAGCCAGAGGACTACTAACTGGTTATCATACTCTGGGAGACTACAACTTTTGAAATCCATTCTCTTCAGTGTGTTTGATTCAAGGGAGGTGTTCCAAAGCACTGTCTTATCTTAGATATCATCTTTATAAGGATGTGTTAAATAGTTACACATCATAGCAGCCTGATTTTGTTACCTTCAAATATTTTACCTTTTGTTTGTCTAGGCATTCATTCCATCTATCTACAGAGAATCAAAGTATTTAATTTTATGCCCGTTATTCAAACCCTGTTAAAATTAAATAGTAAGCCCGAAAAAGGAGCTCAATTTTAGCAATTGGTCAAAAGAACCCATTCTCTGAATTACTGCCAAAGCCTGAAGACTACTAACTGGTTATCCTACTCTGGGACTCTGGGAGACTACAACTTTTGAAATCCATTCTCTTATCGATTCTAGTTTACTGGTCTTCTCTGTTTATTCTCCCCCAAAAAATTATTGCTGCCACACAACAAACTCTCATGAGGTTCCTATAGAAGGGGTCTTCTCTTGATAAGGGTGGATGTAAAGTTGCTTGGACTGAGATATGCTCTCACTCTCTGGAGGTGCGCTAAGTGTCAAGGACCTGCAGGCTTGGAACAAGGCCATTTTTTGGAAAAACATTTTGAATCTCATTTCTGGTATCTCTGCAAACTCTAATTTCATTTGGTGTAATTGAATATCAATGTACCTTCTAAGAGGGAAGAAATTTTGGGTTGTTAAAATGTCTGTTTCAGCTTCTTGGTGCTGGAGGCATGCTACTTCTAAGAGAATTTCTTAGGTTCCAGTTCAAACACATCATTAACTTAGGCCAGAACACCTCCTTATGGTTTGATCCTTGGCTATCATGTGGCGCTATTGTTCCTTCAAAGGGTCTTAGAGTTATATAGACTTTGGTGTCCCTAAAGATGCTAAAGTTGCTGACATTATATCCGATAGAGGGTGGGAGTGGCCTGAATCGCATGCCAGATAATATTAGGGATATTGGTTCTTTGATTGCTCAACTCTGTACCTTCTAGGATAGGGAATGATGTTGTTTGGTCCAGCTCCAATAAGCCCTTCTCAGTTAAGGATGCTTATGAAGATGTCAGACTCAACCATAACTTGTGGGGCTGTTCCAGGGCTGTTTCATCCTCTAGCTTGCTGCACCATGAACAAGCTCCTTCAATGGCGTACGGCTCAATCAGACCGATATATCCTTAGCAGAAGGAATACTGAACCTGTTCGTCATCTATTCTTTAAATATCAGTATGCCCTGAAGAGTCTGTTGCTATTGCTGTGGGTATCAACTAGCAAGGAAAGACTAACTTGCTTGAGATTCTTGAATGGAGCAATCACAACTGTCAGTCTAGGAGGAATTGGTACCATCAAGTTTGCGAAATCTTGCTTGCTGTGTCTATACGATTTGGAGAGAAAGAAACTCTGGAAGATGCTCTAATTCTTATTTGGATGAATGCTCTGTGTCTCTTCAAATCTATAACTGTATTGGACTTAAAATGTTGTCCTTTCCTGCAACTAGATTCAGCAGGCATTCTGTTAGATACATTCCTTTCTGGAATGTTTGATTCTGTTATTGTTTGTACTGTTGGGGGATGCCCCTCTTAATTCTGTGCTGTGTTTCACTTCAAATAAAATAGATTACTTATAATAAAAAATCCCAGTTGCTCAAACTTTACTTTGTTTTGTTTTGTTTTGTTTTTCTTTTTTGTTTTTGTTTTTGTTTTTGTTTTCGTTTTTTTTTTGTTTTTTTGTTTTTTTGTTTTTTTTTTTTCTTTTTTAAAGGAATGTTAAGTTTGCTTAACAATTATATTGAAAAAAGTTACATGTTTATTTTAGAACTTGTTAATTATGTGTCCAGAAGTATTAATGGATATTCGAAATGAAATAATTTTATTCTCAAATAATGAGTTCTTTTACGTATTTAGGAGCATTAGACAGTCTCGTATCCAACTCAAATACAACACAAATATGTCTTCTTGTTTTTTTTTTTTTCGCAACTAAAACACTATACATAGCCTCATAGGACATCCATCACAAAGAGGTGATCAGAAAAACATTCAACAAACAGAGAGGCATGCCAATCCTTAACACGGCACAACGACATCTTCCATGCTGCTGCACTTTGGGTCACAGTTAATGGCATCAGTCCTGGACTTGGCTCATTAGTTTCCTTTTGGGCTTGGACAGATATATGGGGTTCTAAAATCCACTCTACACCAGTAAAATACACATCGTTCATTCGGCAGCCCAGTAGATATTGGGCTTGCCTTTGGATTAACCCATCTGCATGGAGAAGACCTGGTCAGTTTGAATGCTAGGCAGCAATTTTGGGTTTAAACCTTGAGCCACCTTATAATCAGGCCCATGTTGCATCACCATCGAGTCATCCAGTATGTCAAATTCTAAGTCACACAATCTTTCTTGATGGGTGTTGCTCTTACACTCCGAGCACGTTTCTACTTTCACGCTCTCACTCCTTTTTTCACTATTTTGTAATTTAATTTTGTTGTTTTCGCACTTCCGCTCTCACTCCCATTCCCACAATCGCTCTTACTCCCACTCGACCAAAGTATGATAAGCTTTTACTTTAACACATAGTCTGACATGATACAATACAGCGTAAGGCTCGAGGATGTTGGTGGATTGCTGGAGTCCGAATCGGAGAGTACTAAAATTTTGCTGGCAAGCCACCATCATCTATTTTCCTTCAACAAAAACTAAGCATTTCCGATAACGGATAACAACGGAGAGCCAACTTGACCAAAAGTACCTACATCATCCATCCATTGACCATAGTTAAGGCCTAGAATCCCCGGATCAAAAGGAAAAAGTTGCTGGCACTGGTGGATCCAGGGGTGGGCTCAAGCCCACCCCAAATATATATATATATTTATTTATTTACCATACTGAATTTTAGCCCAGCCAATTTATTTATTTATTTTTTATTATTACTATTAGCCCACCCAAAAAAATATTAACCCATTTTATTGACAATTCCTGGATTCACCTTTGGTTGCTCGTATATATCAAAAAGCTGTTCAACTTGGGAAGCCCCCAATGTTACCAGCATCGTCGTCTCACATGTGCCCATCCGTTGCTGATATAAGTCTGTAAGATACATACATAGCTCGATGACAGGTTTGGGATGCTAAATCCCAATTAGGCAAGGACGAATACTTCGTCGGCCAGTCTTCAACATCAGAATCGCCATCAACAACATATAAGCATCGCCGAGCACAACAATCAACAGAAAAACCGTGTATTGAAAGCTTGTCTACCTTACCAAGAAGTCCTTCAACATCCAACCACGGTCCACAGGCCATGGCAACTGGGTTAGACACATAACTAGCATTGGATCGACTCGCCACGGGAACCTAGAGATAATAGTCCGTCTGATAAAGAGAGAGGAGGAAGGCAAACAGAGAAAACTGAAAGTAAAAAAACACAGAACAAACCGTGAGAATGAAAACGAAATATCAGCAGAAGTTGGTGATCAATTCTTCCAAGGTGCAAAAACCTTGAGTATACGATCCGCCGCTCACATGTGCCCCTTCGGGCATACAACCTACAAGATTAACGGACTTGAGAGGGTATGTAAGCCATCTCATAAAAAGCGCACTTCCTTGGGGAAATCTCCAAACTTTGATAGACTGGGAACCTCGGTTTAGCGAGAGCATAAAACTCTTAAATACGTTATATTAGTAAAAAGTGCATGTGCCATTTGCACATGACTGAAAATAAAAATAAAAATCATATAGTAATTGAAACATATATTTTCTTTTTATAATAGTTATTATTTTTATTTTTACTTTTATTCTTTTTAACAAAAAAATAAATTTACCTGCCCTTACTATAAACTCTTGAGTGATGTGCAAATGTGAAATTATCCGCATATATAATTTAAATTCAAGTATTTGTTTGTGCTTTGAGAATCATTCAATCTTCCATTTTTCATGAAGAAGAAGTAAGATACTTGTAAAATTCATATAGATTTACATGTTCAATAAAATTATTTTGAACTTTAACTAATATTTTAAATGGTTCTGATGTAAAACAAATGCAAAAGTTATGCTTATATAAGATTTTCATGTAATTTGTTATAAAAATGATATTATTATATGTTGCTTGTGTGCACGAGAAAATTCATGGTACTTTTTAACATAAATAAAAAAAATAACCAACCCGACCGACAACAAATAGCAAAAGAATAATCTATGACGTCAAACAAGATTTTAAGATTCGAATCTATCACCAATGACTAACATAGAAAGATATAATAAATAAAAAATAAAATTAAAAAAACAAATCTAACAATTATTTTGAATTCAATCAAATTGCAATAATATTTCAAACAATTTAGTTACATTTTAATGTTAAGTTAAATAATAATAATAATAATAATATATTTTATCCATCCTCAAAATAATTGTTTCTTTTTTCCTTCAAATTCAACATATTTTAAAACCATTATTCTAAGCATACGCCGTTTGGGGGCATATCTGTAATTCAATTAGCAAAAACTCTCGATTCGCTTGAACTCCTCTGTCACACACACTGCTGATTGCCCTTCTATTTCTAGTCCTCATTTCTAGGGTTTAATAGCAGCTTTCAGAAACCATAGAATCTGTTGATTGACAATGTCGAACTATTTACCGAACGAAGTAATGATGGACATTCTGGCAAGATTACCAGTGAGAACTCTTCTGCAAATCAGGTGCGTCTGTAAATCTTGGTGTTATCTCATTAGTAGTGATGATTTCGTAACCCTTTGCCTTAATTGAACAACATCAACAACACTCACCTACTTCTCATTAGGCATTGCACTGAAAGTGAGAAACAACTTTGCTTTTATTCACAAAAAAAATAAAACAAGAAGAATATTAGAGGTTTTATGATTTAAGTCCTATATTTTAATTTTTAATATTTTGTAAATATTTATATTATAATTACACGACAAATTTGCTCACGTGCATCGCACGTGCTTTTTGCTAGTGTGTATATACACACATGGTACTTATTTTTGCTTATTAGAGATTAGTGCCGTCATGATTGTATTCAGTCATGCTCTATCCACTCTTAGCCTTCGCCGCCTTACCATACGATTTCATCATATATGTAAAAGTTATCTTCCTTCTCATCAACGCTGCTGTTTCTTGATCATCTTCTTTATTGGTACCAGTAGTACCATCTACATCTTTTATAGGTTTAGCCTTGTCTTATCCCTTCTATGTACCCATTGTCACAGTTACACGATCGATCCTCGACCCGTTTTCGTGCTTCTTCTTCAATTTTGTGAAAAAATAAAGAACTTTCTCTTTCGAACCCTTGAAAAGCTCTAAGGGCTCTTTGTCGTAAATGTCACAGTCTTTTACAACACCCTCACATGGCAGGGCTTCTTCCTTTGCCTTGCACACAAGATACTAAATCAACTAACCGTCGGTTGGATGAAACTTATAACCCATGAAAATTTCTTCCATATTTTTAGCCTTTCTTTGAAAACCATAAAATCTAGATGGGTTTAGTCTTTTCTTTGGAAAACCTAAAATCCGATAGATAACGAGAGCTGATCGGTTTGGGGGTCTCGCCTCAACGGAGCGTGGGGGTCTTGCCTCAACGGATCGTGGTTGGTTTTGGGGGGGGGGGGGGGGGGGGAAACAGTAGAAGGAAGTTGATTATAAGATTCGAAATCACTGTAATCAGACTCCTATTCCATTGATGGACAAAGACTTCCAGGCTTGATCACATTATATTCCGTACTCTATTTCGCAGGCCTTTTTATAGGTACCTTACTTGCCATAAAGGTTTGCCGCCTCCAATTTAGAAATTAAGGACAACAAAAATATTATCTAATAAATTTATAATTTTGCCCTCTCACCCCTCCAACCTAATCGAAATTCCCTACAACCCCTTTTTTTTTTTTGGGTTATGTTGAAAGAGATGTAGGAAGGTAAAATTGTCATTTCTTTTTTTTAACACCAAACAACAACGAAACTAACATTCAAGAAGGGGAAAAAATATAATCAGGGAGCAGAGCCTTAAACAACTACGGGGCCAAATGCTCCACTCCAAATTGTCCAAATTGGCTTTCAAAGCATGCTTACTCACTAAATGAGCAACATTGTTACAACCATGAGGAACCTAAGCAATGGAAGAACCCAAGAAATCCTCTAAAAGAGAAGAAACGTCTGAGAAAATGACATTCAGAGCCTTCACCGAGGCAGACAACCTCATGACAGGTTGACAGTCACCTTCAATAACCACATCACGATAGCCCCAATTTTTGAGAAGACCCACAGCCTCGCGCAAGACTAAGCATTCAGCCATAAGAGAGCTTGGGACATTTTGCAAGAACACAGAGGCAACCTTAATGGGGAAACCAGATGACTCCGAAGAACTATGCCACCTCTACATAAACCACTTAAATGGGCAAAACTAGCATCAAAATTGAGTTTAAAATAGGCCGCCGCTGGAACGGACCAAACCTTAAATTAATAATAAAAGAAAGTGGAATGCTAGGGTTGAATTTTGGAGCGGTAATATCATCACTGTTTCCATATAATATTATAAAGTCAGTACAAAAAATTAGAAACAAATTATCATTAATCAATTAACGTTAATTGGGTTTGGGTTGTGGATTAAAATGAAGACTTTTTATAATACCAATTGATTATTGTCGTAATTTGGTTGGATTTGAGCCAGCTAATTCACCTGGGGTTAAAAAATAATAATAATAAGTGACCAACTGTCCTGCAATTCCTAATGTATGAAAGAAAAAAAAAAAATTGTGGTTTTTCATCAAAAATTTATAACAAAATTTGAATAATTTTTGTTGCAACTATCTTCAACTTAAGCACTTTTCAGATTTGGTAAAATGAATAAAGACACCCTAACTATGATAAAAGTATGTATTTGCCTTTGACCTCTGAATTGATCCATGTGAATTATTAAATTACCTTTATAACCTCCTACTAATTGACCAAAATGGCC